CCACGGTAAGTGTGGTCATGCTCAGCTACACTGTCACCCAGCCCAGCACACACATGTCTGACCTCTGTAGGCCCTGGATCAGCTCTGGTCAGCTCTGCTTGTAGAAGGTCTGCTGCACTCAGCCCAGAAGGGAAATGCTGTCAGAACTCTGGCAGGCAGATCAGAGCTCAGGTGGAAGTTCAGAAACATTCAGTTCCTCTCAATTTTCCATCTGCAAAAAAAAAAAAAAATGAGTCTGTTAGGAATTACAGGTACTGTGTGTTCTTCAGTAACCCTGGCTTTTTCCCTGCCTTTCATTCTCCAGGAACAGTATGAGTTCTGCTACAAGGTGGTGCAGGAATATATTGATGCGTTCTCAGATTATGCCAACTTCAAGTAAGCGACAAGGGCCCGTGGACCAGAAGGATTGCCTTTAATATTTTGTAATATTCTGTTTTGTTAATATACCCCAAATTGTGTATATATCTTATAACTGTTTTAGAAATTGGTACATAGGCTTCTATTACCTATTAGGTGGAGATTTTATATGTAAATGTGTTAGCACTGATAGTCCGTTTTCCAATGTTTTATTGGGGAATTAAATAGTGTGATGTTTGGATTGATATCGTGAAATCCTCAGCTGGGAAATTGGGCTGGATTGTTCTTTGGTTAATACATCTTTCCCTAAAGAAGATAAACAAAATCCTTTCCAGGTAGCTCAGCACCAACTAAGAAAAAAAAGCACAAAGTTCTCAGAGCTCTCGAGAAAAGTGGTTGTCCCCATGCCACCATGCACTGTAAATATCCCTCCCCTCTCTCCCTGGCCCCCTCCCCTGTCCCCACCACCTACATCGTGGGGAGTAATGGGACCAGAGCGGTATCTCTGGCACCACACTAGGGACTATCAGGTAATAAAAGCTTTGACTCCCTGAGGAAATGTCTCTTCCTCTCTCTGGGGTGGGGCAGCCGTATTGGCTGGGGCTCTCCTTGGCTGTTCTGGCCCTGCTGTTGCTGTTTTCTCTGAGCTGTCTAAGAGAAGCCACAGTCCCCCAGCTCCTCCTATCCACGAAGCACAGCCCCTCCAGCTCTTAGGTGATCTCCAGGACCCTCCTTTCATTCCCAGCACATCTTTGGTGTAGTGGTCCTGGCCAGCCTCCCTGCCTATGGAGGGTGGCCAGGTCCTCAGTGAGTCTCCTTAAAGACAGGAGCACAGGGGAGAGCGGAACTGGCTCAGCTTTGGGCTGAGGCCAGTCTGACCTATCCAGTCTGTGGTGCTTTGCTACAGAGCTCTCTGGATTGTTACCCTATCCAAGATAAGTCTTTATATCCACATGTATTGTGTTGAATTGATTCCATTTTATTTCATACGTGTCCTCATTTCCTGACAGTGTGAATGTATCTCAGATCTAGAAGTCAGAATGGTGGGAATCTCAGATCCCAACTTGGTTTTGAGTGACCTGTTAGACAAAAGTGTTGAACTTTTGTTTCTTAAAGAAGTTGGATGGCCGGGCGCGGTGGCTCAAGCCTGTAATCCCAGCACTTTGGGAGGCCGAGGCGGGTGGATCACGAGGTCAAGAGATCGAGACCATCCTGGTCAACATGGTGAAACCCCGTCTCTACTAAAAATACAAAAAATTAGCTGGGCATGGTGGTGCGTGCCTGTAATCCCAGCTACTCAGGAGGCTGAGGCAGGAGAATTGCCTGAACCCAGGAGGCGGAGGTTGCGGTGAGCCGAGATCGCGCCATTGCACTCTAGCCTGGGTAACATGAGTGAAACTCCGTCTCAAAAAAAAAAAAAAAAAAAAAAAGAAGTTGGATGTTCATTTATGTCTCACATAACAGTCTGTCCTGTCCAGAGACCGAGTATCCCTAACAATATTGTTATCATCATCATGATTCAAGCTGGGTCACTGCCATGTCTATACTCCACCTTGAAGAAGGAGCATGGAGAGCCAGCAGCTTCATTTCTAAGGACAGGAAACCAAATCTGCACCTTTCATTTCCACTCATACCCCATATTCCACTCATCAGCTCCACAAGTAGGTTTTTACCTGGTCATAGCTATGCTACAGGGGTTGCTGGGGAAGTGTGGTCTTTTGTTGAGGGCACACTGAGAGAGTGGGTGTGTCCACTGCCTCCCAGCGTCATGAGCAGCTCACCGAGAGCAGGAGAGTGAACTGGTGGCTGTGGCTGTCAGGCAGGGCCTTTCTTAAAGAGCCAGTGCAGGCCTGGGCTCATCAGAGGCTTCTGGAGTGAAAGGTGGCACCCCAGCCTGGTCCAGGGAGGCATTTTCAGGGGTCAGCACTGCTGTACCTCTTGGAGGAGGTGGGACTTGAACTGGACCCACAGGATGCTGGGAATTTCAATGAGCAAAAAGGAAGAAAGGCCAGTGAAGCCACATTACAGAGGGCCTCAGAGTCCAGATAAAGCATTTAACACGGAATGGCTCCAAGAGGAAAGCCTGTCTGTGCACCATGTATCCAGGATGTTTGTGGGAAGGAAGGTGATGTGCAGAAAGGACCCAGGAGGCCTGCAGGAGGCAAGGGCTGCAACAGAACCCCTCTGGAAGTTTACAGGAGATGAGTGTGAGTCATTAGAGACATTCAGTTCTGTAGGAACTAAGGAACTCCCAAGAGGCAGTAAACTCAAAACTCACTAGTCTCGAGAGAAGCATGGATAAATTAGGCAAACACAGAATCTGAGGAATTTCTGATGAGAGGTGTCAAGTCTAGGGAGCAGCTCCTGGCTCCTTGCAAGCTACCCTTCAGTGCTCTGTGTGACCAAGTTCAAGTCAACGCAGGAGGACAGGCACAGGTCAGCAAGCCACTCAGTGAATGTGCAGGTGAGGCTATTCACAGGCACCTGTGCACCTCCCAGCAGGCTGCCTCCTATTGCCAGGGCTGGCCTTGAGTAGGGTGTGCCAGCATGGCCTGGGTGGTTTTCTGCTGGAGTCCATGCTGATTTGGCCAATGGATGGGCCATTGTTTTAAACATCACCTGGGTGCAAAACCAGTATCTCCAAGTAGGAATGAGAGCTGTTTGCTCCCCATCTCCCTCAGGCTGTAGATGTGTCTCTCATCCCTTTATGCCTCCTTCTTCACACCTCTCTTTCTACTCAGGGCTTGCATGTTTACAAGAGAGGTGAACCCAACAGAAACTAGTATAAGCCAAAAGGAAAATGTGCTGAGGCTCACACAGCACAGTTGTGTAGGAAGGGCAGGAGTGATCACTTCAATACCCTCCCAACAGCTAGTCAGTTGTGACCCAAAGGGTTTAGGGTAGGGGTGACTGTTTCTCACAGGGGAAGAGTGAGAAACACCCACCACACACCCAAAGCCCTAAGTCCTGCCACACTCAGACCTCACTTCATCTGGGCAGGTCCTTAAAGGGTGAGGGTTCATCTGGGTTGCAGTTTCCTTCATAAGCTCCCCTGTCCCAAATACCCAAGTCTCTTTCATTAAAAATACAGGCCAGGCATGGTGGCTCACACCTGTAATCCCAGCACTTTGAGAGGCCAAGGCGGGTGGATCATGAGGTCAGGAGATCGAGACCATCCTGGCTAACACAGTGTCTACTAAACCTGTCTCTACTAAAAATACAAAAAGTTAGCCAGGCATGGTGGCATGCACCTGTAGTCCCAGCTACTCAGGAGGCTGAGGCAGAAGAATCGCTTGAATCAGGGAGGCAGAGGTTTCAGTGAGCCAAGATTATGCCACTGCACTTCAGCCTGGGTGACAGAATGAAACTCCATCTCAAAAAAAGAAAAAAAATTAAGAGCAGGCCAGGTGCAGTGGCTCACACCTGTAATCTCACACTTTGGGAGGCCAAGAGGGATCACTTGAGCCTAGGAGTTCAAGACCAACCTGGGCAACATGGCAAGACCCTGTCTCTACAAAAAATACAAAAATCAGCCAGCCATGGTGGCACACACCTGTAGTCCCAGCTACTTGGGAGGCTGAGGCGGAAGGATCACCTGAGGCCATGAGGCAGAGGCTACAGTGAGCCGTGATCATTAGTCTGCACTCCAGCCTGTGTAAAAGAGTGAGACCCTATCTCAGAAAACTAAATAAGCCAAGCGTGGTGGCTCATGCCGGTAATCCTAGCACTTTGGGAGGCCAGGGCCGATCAACTGAGGTCAAGAGTTCAAGACCAGTCTGGCCAACCTGGTGAAACTGTCTCTACTAAAAATAGAAAAATTAGCCAGGTGTAGTGGTGAGTGCCTGTAATCCCAGCTACCAGTGAGGCTGAGGCAGGAGAATCACTGGAACCTGGGAGGCGGAGGCTGCAGTGAGCCGAGATTGCGCCACTGCACTCCAGCCTGGGTGACAGAGCGAGACTCCATCTCAAAAAAACAAACAAAGAGCATGTCTCCCACCCCAGGCCTAAGTTCTTCCCTCTTTATGAGAGACTGCTTGAAAAAGCCTGTACTCTCACTCTTCCCTCTTCCTCATTTCATTCCCACACATTTCTTTTTCATCCCTGCTCACCAAGGTCACCCTGGTACTAAACCCCAGGGATCCAAGGTCTCTTCCCCTTTGTGTCACAGGCTGTCCTCTGCCTCTTATTCTCACCCTTTAGCTGCTCTTCCACTAACTCCTCTCTCAGAGGTTGTGATTCTGGATCCGTCTCTGTGGACCTTCCACTCTCCTCCAATCCCAAGTCCCTTGCATCCTGGTCGCATGTCAGGATTGTCCAGAGATGTCTGCCTCCCACTGCCCACACCTAGGGACCCACCCTCCTTTCCTCTGACCCTCCAGCATTCTCTAGGCCCATGGATCTACGGCGGTTCCTGCTGGCCCTTCATTTTGTTCCTTATGCTGCACCCCTCGTCCTTCACCCAGGCCACCTGCTCAGGGTTTATGCCCCTCTGTGCTCCTGCAGCACCTGAGTGTTTCTTCACCACTGAACCTCTGCTTTCCCACCTGAGTACGCGCAGCCCATGGCTCCAGCTCCTGAGGACTAGAGTTCCATGGTGAACAGATGGCTTTCTATGTTCTAATGAAAGAGATACAAGAGTTCCAGAGTTGATAGTCTGGAAAGGACATCAAACATTTCTATAAAGCTAAGTATGTTGCCAGAAAAATAAGGGAGCAGAGCTTTCTTTCCCCAGGAAGCTTAGCTCTGGTTTAGATTTTTCAGGAAAAACTGGAATCAAATTACAGAATAAAGGCACCCATTCCTCTTTTAAATGAATACCAGCTTTGGTGTGGCTTTGAATAAAGCATTCTGTAAACCCAAACCAGAACTAAACTAGTACATTAAACTTAGATACATTTTCACTAAACCACAAAGCAAAAGTTTTCCTAAAAATCACCCGGTTAACAAAGTCTGTGTATTTAAGCCAAAACAATTTAACTGAACATACGGTCCACACATTTGTTTCAGGTCCCTGCTAAGTCAATCTGGAAATTCACAGGTGTGCCCATCCTGCTTCAGCAGCAGAAGTCCAGGTGTCCAGAGCTGACTGATGCCCAGTATACCTCCCCTCCCCCATCTTCGTCACAGGATTTGACGCACCTGCTCTCCTAATGACTGGCCACCAACATGCCAAGCCTGACCCTGGCCCTCCCATTTGCTGTTCAGCCCAAGTGCGGAGATTGGCTATTAACCCTGTAAACAGGCCTCTGACCTCCAGAGGCTGAGGACTGGCGGGGGAAAGCTGAGCTGCTGACGCAGATTGGGAGGCAGGAGCCCATTTTCAGTGGCCCAGGCTAGCTGTATCCAAATCCACAAGTGGGGAGGGGTTAAAGCCTTGAGGGACAAAATTATTCTACCCACAGCTGGTGGCCCTAGGGAGGCTGCACTGTCCTAATAGCTGGGCCCCATCTCTTTAGCCCGCTTCTTGGTGGGGAGAGAAGCCACTCCTGGGTAGGTACTGCCCCACCCAAACCCAGCCATCTGGAATGACCCAGCCAGCGCTGGTTCCCAGGTGTGTGGATGTGGATTGTCCCACTCACCCAACACGTTCTACAATGAGCAAACAAGCTCTCCAGGAGAGTGGTTGACGCCTCCCCTGTACCTCTGAACAGCCTGCCAGGCTCCCTACTCTTAGGCCTTCCCTGTCCACCAGGGACAGCCCTGAGCTGGGAGTCTGGGAACTCCCAGGCATTTCCCCCACCCAGGACACAGCTCTTTTGGGGTCAGGGAGGGCTGTGAGGGCTTTCTAGGCCTCAAGATCAGGAGCTTGAAGATGCAGCCTAGGAAGTGGGAAGATGAGACCAGGACATGGGCCAGCCTGGAGCAGGAGTCCCAGGCCTGGAGGCTCATGGGAAGGTGGTGGGGAGGAACCATCTGTCGGTGGCCTGAGGCCAGCAGCTGCCTGGTGAATGTTTGTGGAGTGGTCTGGGAAGGGGGTTGGGTGGTGAGCTGTTCCCCCTCCCCTCTCAAGACGTCACTGGAGTCTGGGGGTGGAGCTGCCTGGCCTATAAATCTTGGGGCCATCTGGCTAGGATCCTGCAGTCGCCTGAAGGAGCCATCTCATCCACAGCTCTTCCTCGCCTGGATCGAGCTCCATCCTGGGTGCATGGTATGCTGCTCCTCTTCCCCCTCCCAAACCCCTCCACCCCTGAACCATGCCCAGAAAAGTCCCCTTTCCCCCTCCTCTCCCCAACAACTCTACCATCTATTCTTGTGCTTGCTGCCCCTGGCATGGGAGGGATAAGAGGTAGAAGCACTTGCCCCCATCAACACCACACATCCATTCCATATCCCCAGCTACTATGGAAGAGATACAGCAGGCCACAGAGAAAAGGGCAGAAGGCCTGCCACTCTGGTTCCCTAGCACCGGTGCTCCAAACACCCCCACATTGAGAACTCCCCTGACCATCCATCTATCCTCGCATCCTTTGGCCTGAAATCTGTTCCCCTCCAACTTTCTTCCACTCCTTGAAGGAAGAGGGATGGTCTTGGATGAGTGGGAGGGTCCTCAGAGCTGGCAAGGTGGGTAGCCTCTGTACCCCGGGTTCAGTGAGAAGGCTTGTCCCCTGGTGCATCCTCCCCTGCTGGGCCAGGATTCCCCAGAGTCTGGACCCCTGTATGCTTGGCATGAGAAGCAGCAGCAGAGAGAGAAGGGCATAAGGAGATACCAAAGCTATGCCTGAGATGCTAGTTTTCCGAGGTGGACCTGGAAGGAGGAGGGAATGTGGGGGTGGTGTAAGGTTCCTTGAATGCTGTACCCTGTCCATTAGAGCAGCCTGCCATGGCCAGCTCCAGGCGAGGCCTCCTCCTGCTCCTGGTGCTGCTGACTGCGCATCCTGGACCCTCAGAGGCTCAGCACTGGTCCCATGGCTGGTACCCTGGAGGAAAGCGAGCCCTCAGCTCAGCCCAGGATCCCCAGAATGCCCTTAGGCCCCCAGGTGGGTGATGGGTCTCCCAGCCTGATTGGGAGGAAGAAAGTGATGGCTAGAGCCTCCCCCACCTACCGGGAGCCTGAGGTCGGGGTAGGGAGAACAGCCTCAGTTCCCTTCTAAGGAAGGGCCCTGGGCATTGCAGCAGGCAGCCCAGCCCAGTCTGCCCATGGCCTCTCAAGTGATGCCCTGGCTCCCCTGGAAGACAGCATACCCTGGGAGGGCAGGACCACAGCCTGGTGGTCCCTTTGCCAGAAGCAACACCTGGCACAGACACTACTGGTGAGTGAGGTGAAAGGTCCCCAGCATCAAGACCAGTGACCATTGTGGCTTAGGGTTGGGGGCTGGGAGAGTGGGGTAGAATGAAACAGCACTGAGATGCCCCCTGCCACAGCACCCCCAGCCATTTCTCAGTGCCCCTACTGCACACAGCAGGGTGCTATCTGCTATCCTTCCTATTTCCCAGGAGGACTCTAGGCAACTTATAAAAACACTTAGGTTAAAGACCAAAGTCACTAGTAGAGTAGAAGCACATAATTGCTCTAAAAAACTCCATAAATAAGACAGTGGTGGCCATGGAGTCCCACAGGCATCTTGACAATCAAGCCAATTACTGTTTTGAGGCAGGCAGCCCCCCCAGCCAGTGGAAAGAGATGAGAGATGCAACTTCACGCAAATAGCCAACAGGGCCAAGAGGACAAGGTGGTCACTGACATGTGCAGTAGGAACGTCTCAGGGACGGCAGAGCTCCCCAAGACCATAGCAGAAGACAGGTGTGGGGAAATGGTTTGTTACTATTTTGCAAATCAAACATATTTAAAGTGCATCAGGAGAGCACGATAACTAAAGAAAAAAGTGTTAAGTTCCTATGAGGCAGTCTTACCGCCTGATTTGTGTGTATAGGCGCGGGTTTCCATGCGTGAGGCTTGTTCAGGGTGGACAAGGCCGCATGCCCAAGGGAGCTGGAGATCCCAACCCTGGATCCTCAGGCGTGTAGGGGAGGCAAGGGGCGCGTCTGCTCTGGGAAGCCAGATAGGGATTGGGGGAATGGAGAGGGAAGGGGACCAGGAAGGCGGTAGCTCGGCGGTCACGAGACCAGTGTCCCGAGGCATGACCGCCACCTCTTCCTCTGCAGACAGCAGCCCGAGAGCCCCGCCCTGCCCCGCCGTCCTCCAATAAAGTGTGAAGTCTCCGAAGCTGTTCCCTAGAGTTCTGTCCTTCATCCCCTCTCTCTGCTCCCCGCTAAGACCGTTCCCCGCGTGAACGTTGGAGAGACGCGGGCCCAGCCCCGCGGGTGGGAGGAACGACTGGATGGCCTAGGGCCCTGTCGGGAGGGCCGGGCCAGAGCCCGGGGGCGGGGTGCGGACGTCCGCAGGGTCGCCGCGCGGGCTCCAGAGGCCACACGGCCGGGCGGGGCATGAGGGGCAGCCGGAGGACTACAGGTCCCAAGGTGCCCCGCGCCACTTCCGGGGCACGGCGGCGTCCTGGCAGCGCGGTCGCGCTGAGGGGACTCGGTCATGCTAAGCGCTCTGAGCCGCCTGGGCACGCGGGCCCCGTGCGGGCCCAGGGCCCCGCTGGTGCTACCCGCGCGCGGCCGCAAGACCCGCCACGACCCGCCGGCCAAATCCAAGATTGGGCGCGTGAACATGCCGCCCGCGGTGGATCCTGCGGAATTCTTCGTGCTGATGGAGCGTTACCAACACTACCGCCAGACAGTGCACGCCCTCAGGTGTGCGGCCGGGGGGAGGTGGCCGTCTGCGCGCGCTGGGGACGGTGGGGGCGGGCGGAGAGGGTGCCGACTCCCGGCGCGTCTGTACCCAGGATGGAGTTCGGGTCCGAGGTGCGGAGGAAGGCGCACGAGGCCAGAGCCGGGGTCCTGGCGGAGCGCAAGGCCATGGAGAAAGCCGCCGAGCACCGCGAGCTGATGGCCTGGAACCAGGCGGAGAACCGGCGGCTGCACGAGCTACGGTGCGTGGGGCGGGAAACTGGGCGGGGCAGCCTGACCGGCCTGGGAGAGGTCCAGGCCCCGCTTAGCCTCGGCTCCTTGCCCCTCGCAGGATAGCGAGGCTGCAGCAGGAGGCGCGGGAACAGGAGCAGCGGCAGGCTGAGGAGCAGGCCCGCAAGGCCGAAGAGGCGCGGACCTGGGCGCAGCTCAAGGAGCGGGAAGTGCTGCAGCTGCAGGTGAGCAACGCCTCCGGGGAGTGGGGCTCGAGCTGGGGACGCGGCTTGCAGGGCACTGGGAATTCTGGGCACCGCGACACGGGCGCTGGCTATGTGCAGAGACTTAGAGTTGGCATGTCAGGATTTGGGAGAGGAGAATGTCAGTCAGCCGCGAGGTGAGCAGAGAAATTGGACAGTGTTCAGGTGCCTAGCAGGTCTGTGGGAGGGACCCAGCGTTCCACAAAGAGGTTGTGTTTTGCCTAACAGGTGATGAAGCCATGAAGGGTTAAATATTTCAGGCCAGGATTAGCAAGTGTACGCCATAAACGCAGGGAGACCACCTACCAGTGATGCGGTGAGAATGGATGAGGCTTGATTTAAAGTAATAGAGGGGTAGCTGGGCGCGGTGGCTCACGCCTGCAATCCTAGTACCAAGTACTATGGGAGGCCTAGGCAGGCGGATCACTTGAGGTCAGGAGTTCGAGACCAGCCTGGCCAACATGGTGAAACCCCGTCTCTACTAAAAATACAATAAGTAACCAGGCGTGGTGGTGCATGCCCGTAATCCCAGCTATTCGGGAGTCTGAGGGACCAGAATCGCTTGAACCCAGGAGGCGGAGGTTGCAGTGAGCCAAGATTGCGCCACTGCACTCCAGCCTGGGCAACAGTGAGACTCCGGCTCAAGATAAAAAATAAATAAAGTAATAGAGGGGGAAAGACGAGTTAAAGTGATTTAGAGGGGACCACTGAGGGACGTGAGATTTCATAGCTGGTGCTCCGGGTTCTGGCTGAAGTGTCTGCGAAAAGAGGAACGTGGCAAAAGCACCTGATGTCACTCCACTGGAAGGCCAGTGGGGCTCTCAAAGAGGACCTGGGATCCAGGCATGTTTCCCCAAGGAGAGCAGGAACCGCTTTCTCAGTGGTTCCCTGAGAGGCCAGCAGGCTGGGTGGGCTGGCTGGCACGTGCCTGGGGCTCCTGTTCAGCTGGGCTTTTCTCTCCTGATAGGAGGAGGCGAAAAACTTCATCACCCGAGAGAACCTGGAGGCACGTGTGGAAGCAGCATTGGACTCCCCAAAGAGCTACAACTGGGCCATCACCAGAGAGGGGCTGGTGGTCAGGCCACAACGCAGGGGTTCCTAGGGACCCAGTAAGGACAGTGCCCACCCAGGGACCATGTGTAGGGCGGGGGGGCGGGGGGAGAGTTGGGCCTGACCTGGAATAAAGCAGTCCGTGCTGCTTATGAGGAAGGTTCAGCCTTTTCCAGCACAGCCTTCACATTCTGCCCTCTGCTGTCACCACTTGGTCAGAAACTTCCAAACACAGTGCCCTCCCTGTTCAGGGTCAGCACAGCAGGAGACTCTGGAGTGGTTTCCATCTCACAGAAGATCAGACAGGGCCACAACCCGCTCAGGCAGCCAAGCCGTCTGAATATCATTAAGGGTAGTGATGGGCAAATTACATCTGAGGGCCAAACGTGCCTGCTTCCTGTTTTTGTAAATAAAGTTTTGTTGGAATACAGCCACACCCATTCATTGACTTCTCTTCACTACGGTGGCAAAGATGACTAGTTGCACAGAGACCATCTGGATTGCAAAGCCTAAAATATTTAACTTTTTACAGGAAAAGTGTAGTGATCTCTCATCTGGAGCTTTAGGGCTCTAGCCTGGAGCAGAGGTCACCCAGGACCTGGGCCACAAGCTAACCACTGGCCAGGGGCCTGCCTCTGTTCTATCCTGGGCTTTGGAGGCCAGAGTCTGGTATATCCAAGACCCAGAAGGCAAAGAGAAGACCCTGTTTCTTCTGAGTTCCACAAAGAGGTTGTATTTTGCCTTACAGGTGATGAAGTCATGAAGGGTTAAATATTCAAAGCTAGGATTGGCAGGTTGTGCAACTTAAAAGCAGGGAGATCACTTAAGAGTGGCTGTCTCCACTGGCATCACCAGCATCCTTCGGCCACCCAGCAGATTGCTGCTGGCAGGGGAGACCTGGTGGACCAAGACTTTATGAGGTTAGTGTGGCTTGGCAAGCACTTGGACCAAACTCTGTGGGTACCAGGAATACCTGTGATGATGAAGTGAGTATATAGATCTGCAGTCCTTGTTCAGATACAGGTCCTCAAGCAGTGTCTGGGATGAGCTGGAGGAAATGTTTCTTAATGAGAGCAGCTTCCCTTTGCTGCCATGCATGTGGCCTCCAGCTTCTCTCCATGACTCCCACCTTGCAGGGAAAGCCTGAGGACACCTAAGAAATGAAAACCTTTTAGGGTGTATGGGCAACTCTTGTTGCAGGTGAGGAAGCAGTTATTAAGGTGCAAGCAGAGGTGGTTCCTGGCACCCAACCCTCCTCAGAGCACTGCACGCCTCAGAGCCTTGGCCTCCCTCCTCAGGCTGGGAATAGCTCATCTCCCTGGCCCCGACTCTGGCCAGAGCACAGTAGCATCCCTGCTTTCAGGTGCATGGCATCTGGAGTGAGACCTGATGGGCACATGTGGGCAGTGGTTTGATGAGTGGGCCGTCTGGCCCCCCGCAATGAAAGCCTTTGATGATGTGGCATAGAGGCCTGTTAGGAAGTTCAGTTTTATGTAACATACTCCTCCATGGACCTCTGTCTCCATCTTCCAGTTTTATTCTTTCCAAGGCCTCTATACCAGGATCCAGACATAAGCCATCTGTCTGTTGAGACAGAGGACATGTTAACACCTTGAAGCTCTGTCTTTGGGCTGATTCCACTGCTGTCCTGCATGGGGCTGGAACTCAGCATTCACTGTCTGCTGATGCCGTTATGTCATGCAGAGCCACCTGGAAAGCAAGTGTCAGCGTTTTTATTCTCTACCCACAGCCGTCTTGTTGGTGTAGGCACCAGTAGGCAGCTTACTGGTACCTTCAGGGTTAACTGAAACCCAGTGCCATCTGTACCTGCTTCTAGTGGAACACAGGGTGCAGCCAGGTGCACAGGTAGCCTCTCAGATCCCATCCAGTCCAGGTTGCAGAGTCATGTGATGTCCTATGGTAGAATGCCTGATCTCGGCAGAACCCTGGATAGTTAACTTGATGGACATGGCCTTGCTCAAAACATCAGGGTCTCTAGATCCTTGGCTCAAGTTCCAAGTAGTACTTGGATCTGCTGCAGACAGTGAGCTCTGCAAGGTTGCAAGGGGCAGAGTTGCCAGAATCATGCTGCAGCGTGGACCATCCAGAGAATGTCTTGCTCAAGGCTCCACTTATGGGTGGAGTGCCACTACACTCCAGCCTGGGCAACAGTGAGACTCCGGCTCAAGATGAAAAATAAATAAAGTAATAGAGGGGGAAGGACGAGTTAAAGTGATTTAGAGGGGACCACTGAGGGGCGTGAGATTATGTATTTTTAGTAGAGATGGGGTTTCACCTTGTTAGCCAGGCAGGTCTCGAACTCCTGACCTCAGGTGATCCACTCGCCTCAGCCTCCCAAAGTGCTGGGATGACAGGCATGAGCCACCGAATCCAGCCATCCTAAGGACTTTTTAAAACAAGAAGATGAAATGAAATTTGAGGCAGTAATATATTTTGACAATTAGGGGTTTATACTGTTTGTTTTGAGACGGAGTCTTGCTCTGTCACCCAGGCTGGAGTGCAATGACACAATCGTGGCTCACTGCAACCTCCGCCTCCCAGATTCAAGCAATTCTTCTGCCTCAGCCTCCTGAGTAGCTGGAATTACAGGCTCCTGCCACCACACTTGGCTAATTTTTTGTATTTTTAATAAAGATGGGGTTTCACGGCTGGGCGCTATAGCTCACGCCTGTAAGCCCAGCACTTTGGGAGGCCAGGGCAGGTGGATCCCAAGGCCAGGAGTTCAAGGACAGCCTGGCCAACACAGTGAAACCCCGTCTCTACTAAAAATAGAAAAATTAGCTGGGCATAGTGGCAGGTGCCTGTAATCCCAGCTACTACTCGGGAGGCTGATGCAGGAGAATCACTTGAACCCAGGAGGCAGAGGTTTCAGTGAGCTGAGATCACACCACTGTACTCCAGACTGGGCTACAGAGCTAGACTCCATCTCAAAAAAAAAAAAAAAAAAAAAAAAAAAAGGAGAGAGAGAGAGAAAGATGGAAAGATGGGCTGGTCACAAACTCCTGACCTCAAGTGATCTGCCCGCCTCGGCCTCCCAAAGTGCAGGAATTACAGGCATGAGCCACCATACTCAGCCTCAATTTTTTTTTAAATCCCAGCACTTTGGGAGGCCGAGGCAGGCAGATCAGGAGTCAGAAGATTGAGAACATCCTGGTCAACATGATGAAACCCCGTCTATACTAAAAAATAATAATAGCCAGGCGCGGTGGCTCACGCCTGTAATCCCAGTACTTTGGGAGGCCAAGGCGGGTGGATCACAAGGACAAGATATCAAGACCATCCTGGCCAACATGGTGAAACCCCGTCTCTACTAAAAATACAAAAATTAGCTGGACATGGTGGCGCGCGCCTGTAGTCCCAGCTACTCGGGAGGCTGAGGCAGGAGAATTGCTTGAAGCTGGGAGGCAGAGGTTGCAGTGAGCCGAGATCTCGCCACTGCACTTCAGCCTGGTGGCTGGCAACAGAGCAAGACTCTGTCTCAAAAAATAAAATAAAAATAAAAATAATAAATTAGCTGGGTGTGGTGGCATGCACCTATAATCCCAGCCAATCAGGAGGCTGAGACAGGTGAATCACTTGAACCTGGGAGACAGAGGTTGCAGTGAGCCAAGATTGCACCATTGCACTCCAGCCTAGCGACAGAGTGAGACTGTCTGAAAAAAAAAAATTGCTGGGAGGCCAAGGCAGGTGGATCACGAGGTCAGGAGTTTGAGACCAGCCTGGCCAACATAGTGAAACTTTGTCTCTACTAAAAATACAAAAAATTAGCCAGGTGTCGTGGTGGGCACCTGTAATTCCAGCTACTAGGGAGGCAGAGGCAGGAGAATCACTTGAACTCAGGATGTGGAGGTTGCAGTGAGCTGAGATCACACCATTGCACTCCAGCTTGGGCCACAGTGCAAGACTTAGTTTCAAAAAATAATAAAATAAAATAAAAATACAAAAATTATTTGGGTGTGGGGGCCCACACCTGTAATCCCAGCTACTCGGGAGGCTGAGGCAGGAGAATTGCTTGAACCCGGGAGACGGAGGTTACAGTGAGCCGAGATTGCGCTACTGCACTCCAGCCTGGGTGACAGAGCGAGACTCTGTCTCAAAAATAATAATAGTAAATAAAAAATGAAGTGGGGAGAGATAGCATTAGGAGAAATATCTAATGTAGATGACAAGGTGATGGATGCAGACAACCAACCACGGCACGTGTATACATATGTAACAAACCTGCGTGTTCTGCACATTTACTCCAGAACTTAAAGGACAATAAAAAATTTTTTAAAAATAAAAATTAAGAAAGCAAGAGCATCAGGAACCTAGTTAACTCTTATTCTCTCAGTCTGTCTCCTCTGAAGCCACACTGTCTCTTAAATCTGTTCCTCTCTGCATCTGCAGACTCTGTCTCTAATTCGAAAGTACATTGCAGACATCGAGACACTTCGTCTCTAAACACTTAAGCATATATTTCTTCAGAACAAGGTCATTTTCAACATAGGCATAGTGCTATTAACTACCCACGAAATCAAACAAAAACTCTCCATTTTCCCCTCCCCCAGCCTTGACAGCTACCACTCTACTTTCTATTTTCTAATTTATTTTTATTTTTAATTTTTTTTAGAAATGGGGGTGGGGTCAGGCTGGTCTCAAACTCCTGGGCTCAAATGATCCTCCCACTGTGGCCTCCCAAAGCGTTGAGATTACAGGTGTGAGCTGCCACGCCCAGCCTCTTTTTTTTTTCTTTATCACTTTTAAAAGAAGACATGTTGCATGGTGCACCTCTGAATTTTGGAGTCAACATTGGCCACATTCGAATGTTCTGCTCTGACCCAGTTATCAGGACCAGAACGGCTGCCAGCTTTGAGGGGCATTTAGGGCAAGAGAGGACAGCTCAGGAGATCCCGCTGCAAAGCAGGCAGCTCCGTAATAGAGGCCTTATGATCCAGTAGATCTGGTAAAACTGGTACTCAGAATGCTGTGTGGACCTGTGGTAAGCCTCAGTGTATACTCACATCAGAAGTTCCTGGGTTTTTGGTTTGGTTTTGTTCCTTTTTTTGCTGAAATGGACCCTCATTCTGTTACCCAGGCTGGAGTCCAGTGGGGTGACCTTGGCTCACTGCAGTTTCTGCCTCCCAGGCTCAAGCAATTCCGCCTCAGCCTCCCGAGTAGCTGGAACTACAGGTGTTCACCACTATATCCAGCTAATTTTTGTATATTTAGTAGAGATGGGGTTTCACCATGTTGGCCAGGCTGGTCTTGAACTTCTGACCTCAGATGATCTACCCACCTTGACCTCCCAAAGTGCTGGGATTACAGGAGTGAGGGAATATACACTTTTTTTTGGAGACAGAGTTTCACTCTTGTCGCACAGGCTGGAGTGCAGTGACATGATCTTGACTAACTGCAACCTCCATCTCCTAGGTTCAAA